TAATTTCACCATGGATGATTTTTCAATCCTTCGGAGAGGGAGATATGACTGGGTCGAGGGGAAAGGAGGGGGGATAGGACAGACACTGTTAGCTGAGAGCTATTTTCTTTCCTCTCCATTTAACCATTCTGGGCCACCGCAACGCGTGGCCGGGTACAGCTGGTACCATATATTTTTACCTGTGAACTCTGTGTTGCACAAAAGACACCCTAGTGGTGTGTATGTGATACATCCTTGGTTTGCTGACTGTTGCATGTAGGCACAATGTGCTGCAAGCGAAGTTGTATCCCAAGGTAGCTGCAGACACAGATCACCATTTGCATAAAGCTCTGGATACAGTGAAGCTATGGTCACCGGATGATAAAAGGGAAGTCACAGAGGGCTCAGGCAGAAGTGACAATCAGACAGGTGTGCAACCTAAAAAAACACTAGGCGAGGAGAGGAGTGGGTCAGAGTGCCAGCAGAAGTCAGATTTGTGTTGGGTCATAATTACATTGAGCCGAGAATGCAGAGAGCGGCCAGCTGGTGCTATGAAGTGGAAATTCAGCAATTCATTCAAGATCATGCTCGTTTAGCGGATGTGATTATTTATACAAATGGTTCAGTGTCAAGAGACAAAGAAGTGCTTGGGGGCTCTTAGCAAAAGCCAATGGTCGATATTTGGTGCTGGAGAACATAGCGTATCATACTACAACCTCCAGCCTAAGAATGGAGGTGGAGGCGGTCACTGAAGCTTTCCACTGGCTGGAGAACACGACATACACACGTTGTGATTGTAACTGACTCAGAAAGCATGTTGAGGAAGGTGAGGGCAGGCATGCTCAGGGTTGCCAGATAAAAAAAAACTTCATTTTATGCCAAACCATTACCCTAAATATGCCAGAAAATGCCAAATAAAGTGTGACATTGTACTCACTTCCTATCAAAAGCTCTAGATCGAATTCTTCACTGTCATTCTCACTGGAACAAGTGGAAGACACAGCGTAAACCATTTCGGATGTAAAATCTTTAAGCATTTTATCAGATGGGATGAAGTCTTTGCAACTCATCTATAATGATTACATATTTCTTGTTCCGAAAATCATCAATAAGTTCATCCTTAAGTGCAAGCAAAATATTATATTTTTTTTTATGCATGAACATTTAGTTATATGTAACTGTATGTGCTCCTACGTACTTCACCGACCATGCGCTCACTTCATGATTTCACTTAGATGATCAACTGTGCGTATTGCACAATGACAGGTCATGCCTACAGCAAGTTGCAACTCTGCTGCCTTTAACTGTATCATTACTTTGCCTCGTAGTCATTGTTGTAATAAGCTGTGACTGGCTTTGTGACGTAGTTTTCATTCTGTGTTTTTCGGATTTTTCATGATTTGATACGCTACTAAATTCTTGGTGCAACAGTGCACTGACACGGTTTACAATATGCTGCCTCTGATGCGTCTGAAGATCTTTCGAGCCATGAGTATGTTTTCTTCCAGTTACTGTTATACTTGCGACGTCATAAGATGCTTTCCAATTTTTTTTTTTTTTTTTTTTGGATGACGAGGCCATTGGTAAAAGCATTAAAATCCGCCACAGATAGAACTAAGTCTATATACTCTCTGTTTTCTGTCCTCTAGTTTCTAAACAGTCTGAATCACTTGGTATCAGTGGTGGGTTTTGGTTTTATATCCCACTTTTATTCTAGTATATTAATATAAAAAACAGACGGCCTTGGTTTATCGAAGTCACGATCCGGTTAGGAAGACAACAAATATAACTTAAAATGGCGCGAATCTCCGTTAGTCCGTTCCAGGACATCATAACAAAGTCAAACTGAAATAGAGATGTTAACTGTAGGTATGCATTGCTTTTAGTAAATCTGCGTGTTTCTAAAGGAGGTACCATGAAGTAAATGTGAGCACATCTTGATAAGAAAAACCAGGAAAAACCATAAAAATATGCCAGTTAATTATCTTATGCCAGTTCAATTACAAATATGATAATTTTTTTTTTTTAATCTGGCATTAAAAAATACTAATATGGCAACCCTGGGCATGCTTGGTGCTGAGTGGCTTCTTCGCTTTAGAGATCACGGGTGAGGAGCATTGTCTGGATTTCTTTTCCGGGGTATGTCGGTGCTGGAAAACGATCAGGCGGACAGACTAGCTGGCACCGCAGAACTTGGTGGAATGCTGATAAATGATAAGGCAGACATGGTTAGGGCCTTGTGTGTGAACGGGTAAAAGTCGGAGGAGCAAATGGATCACCACAGTCTGTTGAGAGTGATGCAGCGGGGGGTGACGAAGATGAAAGGCAAGACGAATCAGAATGCTACTGGCGCCATTAGTATCAGAACTCTGCGATGGCTGCTGAAGATGTGGATGTGTCTTAGTGACAGGCTTTAATGGCCCACCATCAATTTTAAAATGTTAGTTGCAAATCGTTTACAGGGCGTTGCAGAACCAACAGCAGCATTTGTTGGCTGCAGTGGTTTTCAATTCGAGAGAAA